GTGATGCGACAGTATTTATATGTGCAGGCGGAGCCTGACATCTGTCGTCATCACGTCACCTGCCTAAAGGCGTGATTAGAGGTGGCTTCAGCCAGGACACGCAGGAGCGTGGTTCCCATACATGATGTTGTACCGAGTGAATTGACTGAAAGGGAACAAGTTAATTCTACAAAATGTTTAACAACAATGAGGTGTTTTGTCTGTTTGGATGTGCTAAATGTTTATCATCTTTATAACTATACTACTAACTGAACTGTGATAAATATAATTCATAAATGATCAAATATGAAAGATAAGATAAGATAAGAAAGAACTTTATTGATCCCACAGTGGGGAAATGTGAACATTACAGCAGCTCAAGACAGTGGAGTTACAGTAACAGGCTGCCTGCCGTGGTGCCAACTTAGAAACAAAGAAAAACTAAAAACCACACAAGGGAAGATGAGGAAAAACAGCAAAAACATCATATTATATCAACACTGTGACACACAATGGTGTTTATGAAAAAAACTCTGCACAGAGCAGATTTATTAGCCAGAGGAGTGAGTGAGTTTAGGGGGGCCGAAGAATCCAGTCCCCTAAACCAGCACAGCCATAGTTCAGGATATTGATGGAAACTGTTCATTTCTATGCAGCTTTCAGCCTGCTCTGGAAAAACAGAATTAGACGGGTGAGAGGAGGGGGGAAGTGTGGGGTTGAACCCTGTCGACACATCCAGCCAGGAAGTGTGACCCTTAATAGAACCACTTGCAGACCAAGTCCAGCTCGCTTAAGGCACAATGTCCGAGTTCTGATAGAATACGGCCATCCATCAAAGACCAGAGAGTTTATTTTATTAATGAGTCCTTTGATGCCACTTCCTGTTTCACTTTGGCTGAGTCCAATTCAAAATAAAATAGACCAGTTATGTGACAAAATGGGTAAAATAATCTGTACTATGTCAATTTTCTTAAGTATAAAGATGTTTTCTTTGACTTTTTGTATGTGAAGGACAGATGTGTCACAGGTACAGCCTCTGTGCACCAGTCAACTAAACACCAGAACACAACTACTTCCCCCGGATGTCCCCCAGGCTTTTCACAATAAAAGCATGATAACATCTCCATACATCAGGCAAATTAACATCATGCATTAAATGTATTGGAGCACGTCACTGCAGAGGTGTAAACAACATTCATCGATGATAAAAACAGGACTTTTTTACCATCAGTCAGTATAAAGAGAGGACTCTGCAGCTGCCAGCAGTTATTGACAGTAACAATCAGTGCTGAGAGGAAACAGTTACTGGTGACTGGGACGTGATGCTCAGCTTATTTAAAGCAGTTTGTTCAGTGTTTGAACAGTTTATATATCAAAGATAAAACAGTGTTTCTGTACAGCTGTATACAGCCCACTAAATGTTTGTTTTTCTGTCCTCAGATGACTGAACATTACTGGACTCCACAGAGCAACGTGTCCAATGAGACGTCCACCAATAAAACCTTCCAGCGCACCATTTCTGCACAGGTGAGTTCTTCATGCAGCAGGTGTGTGTACTCTCTGCAGATCTCCATGGTTCCTCTGACCTGTGTTCTACCACCTGCAGGACACATTGGCCTACGCCACCGCACTGTTAAATGAGAAGGAGCAGTCCGGCAGCAGCAACGGCTCTGACGGCAGCCCGGCTAATGAGAACGCAGAGCGCAGCCTCCGACAGGTAGCTGCCTCCAACAGCAGTGCTCTGACTGTGCCTCATGCTGTTCCAGAAGCCAGAACAGGAAGACTGGAACAAACATGATGTGAGGGGCTCCTGTTGGGAGCTCTGAGTGCAGTGGACCACCTGCAGCTATTATCTGAGCCTATCATCGTGACGATTAGCTGACTGTTCCTGGTGTTAGCATGTTTTCTCATACAGTCATATGAAAAAGTTTGGGCAGCCTTATTAATTTTCCTGATTTATCTTCATAAATCATTGATTGTTTGAATTAAAAAATCAGTTAAATATATCATATAGGGGAAAAACAGTGATATTTGAGAAGTGAAATGAAGTTTATATGATTTACAGAAAATGTGCAATAATTGTTTAAACTAAATTAGACAGGTGCATTAATTTGGGCACTGTTGTCATTTTATTGATTTGAAAACCTTTAGAACTAATTATTGGAACTTAAATTAGGTTTGTTAAGTTCAGTGACCCTTGACCTCCATACACAGGTGACTCCAGTTATCAGAAAGGGTATTTAAGGGGGGCAATAGTAAGTTTTTCTCCTCTTTCATCTTCTCTGAAGAGTGGCAGCATGGGAGTCTGAAAACAAGTTTCAAATGATCTGAAAACTGTAAGGGATAGTTATTTATGCAAATAACTTATCTCACACTTCTCATAACTAAGC